TGGGCCATGCACCTCTCCCAATGCCAAAGTGAATAGCATTGCTCCCCTAAAGAGTATGATAGAGCTGCTACAGACTCCCTGCCAATTGACTGTAGAGTCTGATTGATTCCACAGTCTGTCCTCAGCCTGCCTTTTTTACTGATTCAGTGTGAATAATGCACCCCAGCATCACACTGAAAGAGTCCAACGTTGGTGTTGTCCACTGCAAAGCAACAAAACAAGATGTCTGGGGCCAGGCTCCAGAGCAAATCAATGGTGGAATCCATAAGGTGGGAAGCCCAGTTATTGTTACCAATGGGGCTAGGACATCTCATCATGCCTTTGTTCCCAATTTTTGTAGTTGGTCCCATCTTAAAACGAGCAAAACCAACCCCCATAACTTGAACACCCACAGATCATGAGATGTTTGGAAGCTTAATCAGATTCCAGTTTGTATGGCTTGAGCTTATCTGTACTAAATCTATCTAGGTATCAATACCCAGATCATCACAGAAGTAGCTGGCTGACTTCTCGCTCTCAGAAAATGCTGAAACTAAAGTAGTCTGATGGATAAAACTGAATAATCCAAGAGAAATTAGCTCAGCTGTATGGGGCACCCAGTACATGCACATTCACTGGGGAAGAAATCTTCCACTGATGCTAAATGCTTTGTAATGGAAATAGGATGAACACTGATGTATCTCTTTGGTCTAGCCCCCACCAGCAGTGCTGAAGCTCTGAACAAGCCAGAGCCATGATTATACAAGGGAAAGATACAATATATCATGTCGTGAAAACCTGACAATGGAAGAAATCACTAATTTCAATCAGTGTTCAAATCAGTTTCAATCAGTGTTCAAATAGAATACAAATAGTAGTTTAATATTCCCACAGGGCCAGTTTGGTTTTGTTCCCATCATCACTTGCAGATCTCCCAAAACACTTTGCACTTGTAAAGATGTCCTAATGACCCTTTCTCATTAGCCCACTATCAGTCACTTGACTTACCCTTTCAAAGAATAGGTAGAGAGGAAGTATGATCATTATTTCTTTAGCTTTCCTTGGGCTCTCTGTATTTCAGTGATGGCCAACAACGGCTTTGCAGAAAGTCTCAAAGGACATCACAGTAATACTCTGAACTTCCGTAACATCTTCTGTCATGAGATCCTGAAGCATTTGACCACAATTAATCCATTCAGACTCACAAAGTCCCAGTGGCTGCATCGGGAAACATTATCCCCATTTTACAGATGAAGAAACTGAGGCATTGGAGCGGTGAAGGCCAAATGTTTCAAACTAGGGTGTCTAAAGTTACACATCTAAATGCATATCTAGCCACCTGAATAGGAGGCCTATATTGAGAGGTGCTGAATCCCTATAGCTACCAGCCTCTTTTCCTGAAAACCAACCCACTTATTTAGGGGACTAGAACGAGTAAGATGTCTAACGTTGGGCACCCAAGTCTAAATATTTTGGCCCAAGTAACTTGCCCAAGATCACACAGCAAATGGTGAAGCTGGGAACAAAAGGAGAGCGCTGACTCCACCTTTAACCACTAGGCTGTACTCTCACAGCTACTGGCTAGTCACCTGTGCAGCCCCAGACTCCATAAGCAATTTAATGGGATCGCATGTGCTTATGATCACTCAGGGTTAGCTTCACCAAGGAGGCCGATGAGCTACCCACTCAGCATCGCAGTGAACGGATTTTATGAGCCCAGTGCCCTAGTAAAATTCACAGCCCTGAATTAGGCCCCCAGGCAACACATGGGAAAAGTTAGCAGCATGAAACAGCCTTAATAACCCTTAATCCAGCCAGGATACCCCCCTGGCATGTGGGAGAACCAGGTTCAATTCCCCTCCCCCACTGGGGAGAAGGGATTTGAACTTGTACCTCCCAAGAGACTGCCCTAACCACCGCATTGAGCTGAAGTTTATCCAGAGGGCCAGCTCTTCCTTTTCCGTGCGGGGTAGGTGTGCTCTGAGCAGGCCTACCAGATCAGGACCCAAAGACTACATAGGCACCTCCAGGGCTAAGCAGCAGCTGAGTGGTGGGAGGGAGGGTATTGTGAATGCTGGACTTAGCCGCCTCAGTCCCTTCAGGAATCTAGCCCTCAGTGGCTATACTCTGATACCTCCATTTCCAACTTCCACGGTTCAAAGACCATCCACTTGAGAGCAGCCAGCACCCAGAGGTCCACATCCAGAGGAGCTTTTACTGTATACATGTCACAAGGGATAGCTGAGCTAATGACCAAAGACAGTCAAAATGGGATACATTCCACTGACTTCATTAATGCGTTGCCTTTAAAGGGCCACATGGCCACTGATTTTGTTTACTCCAATTGTAGAAACAGGAGGTGGAGGAGATGGTGAATCTAGTGGCTCAAGCACAAGCTACTGAGAGTCAGGATTCTTGGGTTCTCAACTCCCGTGACTCAGTTTACTGATCTGCAAATTGACTATAGCCACAACTAATAGCAATAATACTTAAATATTAGCAATAGCTACTTAAATATTATTGCATACGACAAAGAATTATATTCAGGATTAATTAGTTGATATGTGAAAATAACTGTACTGACATTGTGATAAAATAAATATGATGAATACCAATGATATGATTAGAAGTTGTGACGATGAGAGGAAAGACACAGGCTTTCAGTAAAAGGTCAAAAAGCTCATTCGCCTGTACATTCCCGCTCACTAATCTCACAATTAGAGCCGTGGGGAAAATTTCACACACTACTTTTTTTTTCCTGAGAAAAATCCTGATTCAGTGATTCAACAGATGTGTCAAAAAACATTTTGACATATTTTTCATTTTTAAAATAAAAAATGTCAAAAAAAAAAATCAAAATAGCCAGTTTCAACATTTTCAAAAGAAAATATTTTTTTTTTGTTTGAATTGACTTTTTGGTTTAAAATTATCTTTAATTTTATTTTTTTTAATTAAAAAAAAAGTAAAAAGCTCCAAATCTAAAAGAAACATTTTGATTTTGTCATAACAAAAAAATTGATTTGACCTGAAATGCAATTTTTTTCAAATTTTCAATGTGATTAATTAAAAAAAATCATTTTCATTTCAACCCAAAATGATTTTTGTTAGTAATTGTAAAATTGCCAAAGCCAGCTCTCCTCAGATCACAGTTTCCAACTTTCACGTGGTAAATAAGCACCCCGGCTTTCACAATAAGCCAAAAATCAAACGAATCCCATTTCAAAACAAGGCCAAAACAAGCCAATCCCTATGAACCCCAACACTCTATGTGACTAGATCCCCCCTGCGAGCAGTCTGGGACTGTGGTGGGCCCACTGTGCACCCCGACTCTCTCCCCCCCTTACCCTCTTGCCCGGAGCTGATAAAAAAAAGAAGCAACAAGCTACAAGCCCAACAAGCTACAAACCAAAAACTAGCCAACGAACAACTCACAAATTAATTAAGCCCCAAACAAACCCAATTTCTGCCTTTTTTTCGCAGGTTTGGCATGTCTGCTCAGAACACCTCATCATCAGTTTGCACCACTGTGGCCAGTTTATCCTCTCTCAACACAAAGCTTTTGGGAGATCACCAGCGACAAAGCAAAACGGTGCACCAGGTAAGAGAGAAGAAAGATAAACAGGCCCTCGCACATCTGCATGCTACAGTTCTGGTTGGGATATGCTACCAAAGCAGAGCTTTATATAACCTTCAAAGAGGGAAAGGCCAGGGGGTCTCGATGGAGTCCATTAGGCTCTGATTAACCTATTTTATATGGAAGATACTACGATGGCGAGCAGCAATACAGAACCCTAAGACAGACAGACTATTCTGTGTGGAGTAGCTGTCATTGTCATATAAGGATGGGGAGAGGGGCCTGACGAGATCAAAGGTCAGCCTCCATTTTGCAAGATGGGGTCTGGCGTGCAGGGGGCAGCTCCAACAGACTCTCATTGCTGTATTGAAAGCCTATGTAACCCACACACCTTCTGGGTGTGGTGTTCTGTCCCATCTAGACCACTTAAAAGCGAGACAGATAAAATATGTCTGCTCTACAGCTTCACTAAAAGCTAGTTGCCTTTTAGCTCAGGCGGTAGAGGCTCACGCACTAAGCTCCAGAGGTCCCAAGTTCGATTCTGCCCGCCGACTACCGGGGTCTGTTGGCGTTACACCTCCATAAAAATAATTGACTTGTTCAATACAAACCCTTGTGTTGCTTTAATGCAAAGTACAATGTGTCCATTCACTAAGGTCACCATATTTGAACACTGAAAAAAAGAGGACACGCCAGAGGGGCCCCCAATTCTGCCCCCATGCCAACCCCTTCCCCACCCCAACTCCGCCCCTTCCCCCCCCACATTCCAACCCCTTCCCCAAATCCCCACCCCGGCCCCGCCTCCTCCCCTGAGTGCACCACATTCCCCCTCCCTCCCAGCCACCCGAAGCAGCCGCCTCCTCCCTGGGCTCCAACTTTCCCGGCTCCCACCGCTCTCCAGCGCGTGCGCCCCCGGCCAGGCGCTTCCTCTGCACAGCCGGGGGAGGGGCACGGGAAGTTGCTTCAGGCTCCGGGCCTGCCCCTGAGCTGGGCATCCCAGCCCCAACGCGCTCCCACCTGCGAGGCTGCATCCCAGCCGCGGGCTCCCTCTCTGGCCGGGCTAGAGCAGAGAAGTGCTGCAGCAGCTCAGGCCGGGCGGCTGTGGGAGATGCTGCCGCGCACCGAGAAACTTTCCCCTGCGCTGGGACCCCCCCGGGCAGCGGCTCAGCAGGGGAGGGGGAGGCAGGCCCAGCTGCACAGACCACTGGCGGGGGGGGGCTCCTTGCACGGCCGGGGCGGAGTGAGGAGACTGAAGCTCTGCCAGGGCTTCGGGGGATGCTCGGAGGAGGGAGAAGTGGCCGCGGGTCCCCCCCCACCCGCAGCTGGCTGCAGCGAGGTCACCGCTCCTAGCCGTGGGGTTGCGGCAGCACTGTGAGAGGAGGGGGGGTTGCAATCCGCAGGCTGCAGCGAGCTGACACCCCGAGAGGAGAGAGAGGCAGTAGGTAGGGTTATCGTACGTCCGTATTTTCCAGACATTTTTATATATTTAAAAAGTCCTCCCAGACGGCGATTAACTACTAAAATGCTAGACATGTCCGGGAAAATACGGACATTTGGTAACCCTACATTCACCCTTGTATACACCATGCCCTATGCCATCTGTATGGCCGAAACAAATTACATTGAAGGAAGAATATCGACTGGTTTCTAGGGACAACGATTGCATCGATCCAGTCCAAGGGAGACATATGAGCCCTCTATTCAAATCAATCAACTTTCCTTGAAGCTACAATGGCACTGAAACCTGTTTACTCCCCCTGGAAAAAGCAGATTTATAAGGTAAGTCACTTATTTGGAGCCTGTGGATTCTCCTGTAACCCATATGGTAGTCAAAATGCAGGAGAGAAAATTACCTGCTTGATTCAACTGCCCTGACAAGCTATTAAGCATTTAAACCATGATGCACCTGCTCCCAAACTGTATTAGAGCAGGGATTGTGGACCGAATATGGAGTGAGAAAGTTCCCTCTGGCAAGCCCAGTCGTAACTCAATGTAACGAGCACCTAAGGAAATCAATCCAATTCCCACATTTATAGGAGCGTGGGCTTCCTCACAAACCCTACAGACAAATGGGCCTGAGCCAGCACCTTCTAATATTGCAATAACAAGCACTCATCCTGGGGAAATGAAACGGAGGTGGCAAGAGAGAGCGGGAGAGCGAGGGAGAGAATATTGGAGCAGACAACGACCCACCTGGGACAGCCAGGAAGGAGCCTATCTTCAGAAAGGACACGGTTACGCCAGCTGACTCTTGTCAGCAGAGCTGTCCCATCAGCCCAGTCTGCCCCGCTGCCCCGCCCATGCTCTGGCAGGGAGAGAAAAGGAAAATGGAGGGGTTTTGTTTGTTTGCCTCTTGAACCATTCGGCTGAGGAAACAGGCAATAAAATATGGATCAGCCCCTTGGGGATGGAATTCCTGCAAACCCTGCGACTTGTTTAGCTGGGAGTGTGCGTGTGTCTGAGTCTCCCTGTAAGCAGAGGTCTTCTCTCTCCCGCAGGGTGAGTCACAGTGCGCGTGTGCATTTTCTGTCTCCCCTTCGCTTACTGTCCCCTCTGAATGTGCCTCTGTCTCTGTCGGAGATGAAAGAATGTCTGGGGACGTGGTGAAATGTGCGGCGATCCCTGCAGAACTGGACACCGACACTCAGGGATAGCCCCAGTTCACCCATCAGTGTCCCTGCAATCCCTGTAGCTACACCACCATGGCCCCCTAAGCACGGAGAGGAGCAGGAGCAATGCAAACCCTGCTGTCTCTTGTCTGTACGCAGGGATCAGCAATGGTTTGCACCCATTGCTGGTCTTCAGTGGCTGAATCGGGGTTATACCAGAGCGTAGGCCAGGCCTTAATTTCAGAGAGCATGAGGGATGGAAACGTTGCTCCAGACTTAACAAGTCATAGAAACCCTCTGTGAGAGTCACCAGCTTCCCACCCAGCTGGGGAGGCTGAGACGCGGAGGGCTGCAGGTAACTGGCATGCATACCTGTGCATTTAAAATGAAGAGTAAACGCACAGAACCTGGCGCGTTAGACAGCTGACCGACTGCCCCATTTCACAATGCTGTTGTGTTCCCACCACCTCTTGTATGTCCCTCCTGCTCTCTCTCACAGCTTATTTCCACAGCGGCTGTGGGCTATTGGCACTCTACTTGTCCTACCCTGGTGATATTTCCCCCTGCGCTTGGGATCTGAGAGGTGCACATTCCTTATGCTGCTCCACTGCCCAGAGGTGAATTTCACCCTCCACAATTCGGATATTGCACAGTTACCAGTGCTCAAGCCCTCTGGGCCACTGTTACTGCAGGGGAGAGAATTTGTTCCAAGTCCCAATCAATGCTCTGTGACTTGGCAGTCAACAGGACCCCGGCCACTTTGGGTTGCCGAGTGCAATGGTTCACTCCGCTTTGTCCTTGATGCCCCTTGGTTTGTTCCTCTGATGTTCCAATGTGTCCAGTGATGTGCTACTGAGCCTCCCTGTGCAGGTGACACACAAATTGGGGGAGTGGTAAATAATCAAGAGAACATGTCACTGATTCAGGCCAGTCTGGACCGTTAGGGAAACTGGGCACAAACAAACCCTTTTAATACAGCTAATTGTAAACGTATATATCTAGGAACAAAGAATGCAGGCCATACTTATGGGATGGAGGACTCTATCCTGGAAAGCAGTGATTTGGGGCTGTGGTGGATAATCAGCTGAACATGAGCTCCCAATGTGGCCAAAAGAGTTAATGTCATCCTAGGATGAACAAACGGGAATCTCAAGTACGAAAAGAGAGGTTATTTTACCTCTGTATTTGGCACTCGTCTGACCGCTGCTGGAATCCTGTGTCCAGTTCTGATGCCCACAATTCAAGAAGGATGTTGATAAATTGGAGAGGGGTCAGAGAAGAACCACAAGAATGATTAAAGCATTAGAAAACATGCCTTGCTGTCATAGATTCAAAGAGCTCAATCTAGTTACCTTAACAAAGAGAAGGCACAGTCTACCCGTATCTCCAAGGGGAACAAATATTTAATAACGGGCTCCTCAATCTAGTAGAAAAAGATAAAACACGACCCAATGGCTGGAAGTTGAAGCTAGACAATTTCAGACTGGAAATAAGGCGTAAACTTTTAACAGCGAGAGTAATTAACTATTGGAACAGTTTACCTAGGGCTGTGGTGGATTCTCCATCACTGACAATTTTAAAATCAAGATTGGATGGTTTTCTAAAAGCTCTGCTCTAGGAATTATCTTAGGGAAGTTCTATGGCCTGTGGTATGCAGGAGGTCAGACTAGATGATCCCAATGGTCCCTTCTGGCCTTGGAACCTATGCATCCCCTGCACACACTGGGGCCTGGGAGTTCTTTTCCCCACTTCAAAATATCAAGGATGCCACATGTTGCCTCTCCTCCTTCTGTTGGATGACTTCTTGGATGACCCAGTCATGTGTAATGGGAGCTTTTTCAGCTCTTAGCTGCAGCAGGTACATGGAGCCAACTCCCTAGCAGGGAGAGCTTTCCCCCAAAGCATTTTAGCTAAATAGGTGTTATCCGAAAAAAGTCAGTGAGTCTAACTGTCTGAATAAAACCAATTTCCCTCTCGATTCATCCGGTCTCACTTCCTTGGTATCTCGGATATCACAATTCTACCAGATCTCATAATACTTTCCAGGGTGGGCAAGACCTGAATTTCTAATGTCAAAAAACAAATAGGTCAACCTTTAAGTCTTTTGGTGAGCTCTTATTTGTCCTCAATTCCATTGATTTAATTTTTTCCACTTTAATGTGCATGGTCTCCAAACAAAACCCTGCAAAAGTTCCTCCTAAGGAACCGGCTCATGATACCAAAGCAATTTTTTCCCTTAACGACAGCTTCAATCACCAAAGGTTTGCAAGACTTAAAGATGACCTCTGCTGATAAGCTTCAATTTATACAGCGCAGCGGAGATGGGCAAGGCAAAACTGGCTGTCATTGTGTATTAGTCATTATGATTCATAGTTCAAACGGAAGAAGATATGAGCCGTCTGGGAGCACTGAGTTTTTGTTTTGTTCTGGGATTTGTTTTTTTTTTTTTTTTTTTACAGCAAAGGTATCCTCTGTGCTCCTTCAGTCTGAATCTTTGCAAGGAGACTAGATGGCTCATGGGATTGGCAATAGGATACAGAGCCTTCTACCACTAGGCTAATGATTAAAGCCCTACCACAAACTAGCAGTGACCAAAATTTGTTCTGTTTGATGGTTCTTCGGGGTCGGTTGTGACAACTGGACCGACAAATGTACCCGAACTGCAAACTCAACTGTAAAAAGTATGTAAAAGTTCCAAAAAATGGCATAATAACCTATAACAACAAATGTTGATGGGAAAAGGTACAAAAGGGAAGTGGAATAACTCTAAATTAGTCTAAACAAAAAGGCCAAATATATGATTCAAGGACTCTGTTGAAATTATACTTTGTTAAAAAACAGGATATGTGGAGCTGGAATGTAATGAGCCAAGATTGGTATGTCAGATATTAAGTCTAATTGATGGACAATTATTCAACCCATGTCTCCCTCTTTGGGTCCTGAAAGAATGAGATTTTGTGGGGAAATGAAAGAACAAAGAAGAAGAACAGACAGAGGCTACTGGAGTGCGCTTCACCATCATGGCTGCCAGGCCCGCTCTTTGCTGGGACCCCGACCTGCATTATCCCGATGCTGAGAGGTGACCTGATCAGAATGGGGCAGAGAGAGAAACCCAGATAACCTCACCACCACCATCCCTCACCACCTCTACCGTCTCCAGCTGGGTCCCAAACTCCATCTGGAATGACAGTTATTAACAAACAACTATCAAACAACTGGGCTTTTCCTAATAAGACTGGACTTTAAGACTGGACAATGTTCCCTCTCATTTTTTACATCCACGTGCGGAATGAATTTTGTTATGTGCACCAATATGGAGGTGCTGTGTGGCGGGGGTGGGGCCAAGGGATTCGGCATGTGGGAGGGGGCTCAGGGTTGGGGAAGAGGGTTGGGGTGCGGGAGGGGGTGAGGGCTCTGGCTCGGGGTGCAGGCTCTGGGGTGGGGCTGGGGATGAGGAGTTTGGGGTGTGGGAGGGGGCTCAGGGCTAGTGCAGAGGGTTGGGATGTGGCCGGGGATGAGGGGTTTGGGTGTGGGAGGGGGCTCAGGGCTGGGGAAGAGGGTTGGGGTGCAGAGAGGTGAGGACTCTGGCTGTGGCGTGGGGCTGGGGATGAGGGGCTTGGGGTGCAGGCTGCCCTGGGGTTGTGGCAGAGAGAGAGAGAGAGAGAGAGAGAGAGAGAAGAAACGACTCCTCACGCCTCTC